GTAAAAAAAATTTTTTTTCATACTTTGGGGTGTCTTGCACGGATTAATTTGATTTCCATTATTTCTTATGGGGAAAATTCATTCGCATAACGATAATTTCGCATAACAATGAGCTCTCTTGCACGGATTAATATCGCTATGCGGGGGTCCACTGTATTTGTTTCATGTGCGATTCTTGTGGTGTTCTGTTTCAGTTTTCCAATAAGTGTCTTAAGTCAGCATCAGCATTATAGTGTAGTGTTTCATCAACATTACAGTGCAGTGTTTCATCAGCATGACATTGCAGTGTTTCATCAACATTACAGTGCGGTGTTTCATCAGCATGACATTGCAGTGTTTCATCAACATTACAGTGCAGTGTTTCATCAGCATGACAGTGCAGTGTTTCATCAACATTACAGTGCAGTGTTTCATCAGCATTACAGTGCAGTGTTTCATCAGCATGACAGTGCAGTGTTTCATCAGCATGACATTGCAGTGTTTCATCAGCATGACAGTGCAGTGTTTCATCAGCATGACATTGCAGTGTTTCATCAACATTACAGTGCAGTGTTTCATCAACATTACAGTGCAGTGTTTCATCAGCATGACATTGCAGTGTTTCATCAACATTACAGTGCAGTGTTTCATCAACATTACAGTGCAGTGTTTCATCAGCATGACATTGCAGTGTTTCATCAGCATGACATTGCAGTGTTTCATCAACATTACAGTGCAGTGTTTCATCAGCATGACAGTGCAGTGTTTCATCAGCATTACAGTGCAGTGTTTCATCAACATTACAGTGCAGTGTTTCATCAGCATGACATTGCAGTGTTTCATCAGCATGACATTGCAGTGTTTCATCAACATTACAGTGCAGTGTTTCATCAGCATGACAGTGCAGTGTTTCATCAGCATTACAGTGCAGTGTTTCATCAACATTACAGTGCAGTGTTTCATCAGCATGACATTGCAGTGTTTCATCAGCATTACAGTGCAGTGTTTCATCAGCATGACATTGCAGTGTTTCATCAGCATTACAGTGTAGTGTTTCATCAGCATGACATTGCAGTGTTTCATCAGCATTACAGTGCAGTGTTTCATCAGCATGACATTGCAGTGTTTCATCAGCATTACAGTGTAGTGTTTCATCAGCATGACATTGCAGTGTTTCATCAGCATTACAGTGCAGTGTTTCATCAGCATGACATTGCAGTGTTTCATCAGCATGACAGTGTAGTGTTTCATCAGCATTACAGTGCAGTGTTTCATCAGCATTACAGTGCAGTGTTTCATCAGCATTACAGTGCAGTGTTTCATCAGCATTACAGTGTAGTGTTTCATCAGCATTACAGTGTAGTGTTTCATCAGCATTACAGTGTAGTGTTTCATCAGCATTACAGTGTAGTGTTTCATCAGCATTACAGTGTAGTGTTTCATCAGCATTACAGTGCAGTGTTTCATCAGCATTACAGTGTAGTGTTTCATCAGCATTACAGTGTAGTGTTTCATCAGCATTACAGTGTAGTGTTTCATCAGCATTACAGTGTAGTGTTTCATCAGCATTACAGTGCAGTGTTTCATCAGCATTACAGTGCAGTGTTTCATCAGCATTATAGTGTAGTGTTTCATCAGCATTACAGTGTAGTGTTTCATCAGCATTACAGTGTAGTGTTTCATCAGCATTACAGTGCAGTGTTTCATCAGCATTACAGTGCAGTGTTTCATCAGCATTACAGTGCAGTGTTTCATCAGCATTATAGTGTAGTTTCATCAGCATTACAGTGTAGTGTTTCATCAGCATTACAGTGTAGTGTTTCATCAGCATTACAGTGTAGTGTTTCATCAGCATTACAGTGTAGTGTTTCATCAGCATTACAGTGTAGTGTTTCATCAGCATTACAGTGTAGTGTTTCATCAGCATTACAGTGTAGTGTTTCATCAGCATGACAGTGTAGTGTTTCATCAGCATTACAGTGTAGTGTTTCATCAGCATTACAGTGCAGTGTTTCATCAGCATTACAGTGCAGTGTTTCATCAGCATTACAGTGCAGTGTTTCATCAGCATTACAGTGCAGTGTTTCATCAGCATTACAGTGCAGTGTTTCATCAGCATTACAGTGCAGTGTTTCATCAGCATTACAGTGCAGTGTTTCATCAGCATTATAGTGTAGTGTTTCATCAGCATTACAGTGTAGTGTTTCATCAGCATTACAGTGCAGTGTTTCATCAGCATTACAGTGCAGTGTTTCATCAGCATTACAGTGTAGTGTTTCATCAGCATTACAGTGCAGTGTTTCATCAGCATTACAGTGCAGTGTTTCATCAGCATTATAGTGTAGTGTTTCATCAGCATTACAGTGTAGTGTTTCATCAGCATTACAGTGCAGTGTTTCATCAGCATTACAGTGCAGTGTTTCATCAGCATTACAGTGCAGTGTTTCATCAGCATTACAGTGTAGTGTTTCATCAGCATTACAGTGTAGTGTTTCATCAGCATTACAGTGCAGTGTTTCATCAGCATTACAGTGTAGTGTTTCATCAGCATTACAGTGCAGTGTTTCATCAGCATTACAGTGTAGTGTTTCATCAGCATTACAGTGCAGTGTTTCATCAGCATTATAGTGTAGTGTTTTGAAGATGTGGAGTGAATTATAGTGTGTGTGACATTTATATTTTTATAGTTTTTAACTCCTTCACTGTCGAGACCCCTGTTCACAAACTTGCTCTCAGTGTTGAAAAATTTAAAAAAAAAACTCACGAAATGATAGAGAATCTTTTCCCGATGGTAATGACACCAAAAGTACGAAATTTGATGGAAAACTTATGGAATTACGCCTTTGCAAAGTTTGCGAGATATATACGCAGTGGTGATTTCGCCCACTTTGAGCCCTATTTTTGGCCAATTCCATTGTTCCTGTTGACCAAACTCATAGCTATTTCACTAGAACTCCACTTTTTCTATCGACTGAGTACAAGAAATCGCCCATTAACCGATTTCAACTACCTAATAAAGTGGTCAGAAATTGGCAATTTGGCCAATTTCACACAAATTTCAAAAGATGTCAATTTCAAAATAGGGTCCAGAGTAAACACTGCAGACATTCTTGGAACTAAAATACCATTTTCTATGTTCATTAGTCATGGCTCCAGGCCCTTCTTATATTACTCTTTCCATTTTGAATTTTTATTCACACAAAAAAGTGAAGATTTACTGTTATGCAGACTACTGAATTATTGAAATTGTATAAATAATGTCAACCCATTCGTGACTGTGTATCAGACTGACCAGTTGGACACGTATTGGACGGTGACATCATTTGTTGACTCTTAACCCTTAAACTGTCCAAACATAGATCTACGTTTTTTCAACATTTGAAAGTATGTAAAAATAGTAGATCTTTTTTTTTACATTTGAAAACGTGTAAAAAAACTTTGATCTACTTTTTTTTTTGTTATATTTGAAAATATGTAAAAAAAATGTAGATCTACTTTTGGAGCACTATGCATGTGAACGTAGATCTGCCTGGACAGTTTAAGGGTTAAACATCGGCTAAATCTAAAATTTTTGCTACTTTGAGCTCAATTTCACGGTACTTTTCATCATAAAACCAACCAAAATCATCTCTATTTCTGTGTTATATCTTCCATTCTATCAAATGAGACCAAGGAAACGAGAATACAACCATAAATATAATACGAAAATACACTTCAAAGCCAGCGTTTTAATCCAAACACACGGTTGGATATTTTTTCTCTCATTATGCACTATGTAGTGCAGAACTTTTTTAATACTGTGCGCACTGACCATGCAGACCCATTCTCTCACATGCTTTCTCCCACAAGATCTGAAGCCACTAGAATTTTGGCACATTAATACGTTACCAACACTGGCTTGTAGGCCGTACCTATATGTCACCGACAGTGAAAGGGTTAAGGATATGAATAAGGCCATAATGTGTTGCCTAAAATTTGAGTTTGTGATTGTTCTGATAGCTATCTTTTGTTGTGTGATAACTGGTTTGAGGTGGCAGGTCAGAAAGAACCCCAAGCACAAATTCTATAGGTGAGGTATAGGTAAATGAGAGGGAAGTAGAGTTTTTATAATAGATTAGGGAATATAATACCCAAATTTAGGAGAGTATATCTAGAGTTTATGATATTTTTTTAAAGGAGATGAATATGAGCATTAAATTTATTATCTATAAGCAGACACTTATCCTCATGTTTTCTTCTCTACTTTAGACTCATTAATTTTAATGTCTAATTGTGGACATGGTTTAGATACAGTTGTGTGATCAGTAAAGAGTACTGGTTCAGGTTAATGTAGAGGAGGAAGTAAAGAAGGCCCAGAATGCAACCTTAGAGGATATCTAATTTAATTGGGTGGGTAGGTAGTTGAGGAAGTGCTATTTATGACTACATGCTGTTGTCTGTTAAGTAGGATGTGAAATACTATAGCTCTGTGTGTCCTCTGAATCTACAGCTACTAAGTTTGCAAAGTTGAATATTGTGCTAAACTGTATCAAAAACTTTCACAGACCAATGAAAAGTCCAATGCTACATAAATTGTCAAGCTTTTTTTTTTGTTTTTGTTTTTGTTTTTGATTGCACCATTAGTGTTTGGTTAAGTATGAGTACAGCTGCTTGTGAATCACTTTCTCAAATACTTTTGATAGAATTCATACATTAGATACTGATCTGTGATTATCAACACCAGTTTGGTCACGACTTTTGTGGATAGGTATTACTGTATTTGGCTCTTTTGAGACAGCCTGGAAAAGCATGTTCTTAAAAGCAATTTGTTGGAAAGTATTTAAATGGGTTGTGATAACACTTGCATTGCTTTCTCATAGATATTTGTGGGTATTTCTTGTGCTACTTTCTAAGTTATTTAGTGTTTTAATAATTAATGCTATTTCAGAGATTGTGGTAGTAGCCAAGTAGAAGTTTGGATAATTATTACTCAAAGTGAATACATGAATCCTTGGCACTCAGATTACAGTACATGTAATTAGTTTGTAAGCAATAACATTATTTATTTATTGAGCCTCATAATACAATTCACATGTTAAAACCAGGCAAACAGCACAATGAATAATGGAGTTACAAATAAAGAAAAAATGACAAGTAGAGATTTTTCAAGTTTTGTATTGTGGTGCCACTAATGTCAAGTGTGACACAAGCTCTGTAAATGACAATGTAGTACTTCAACTATTTTCTTTCTTTGAGGACTATAAGTAACAATATTTATCACTGTGAAAAATTTTATACATATCATTATTTGGAAAAATTACTGTTGTAATGCAAACACAGCTATAAACTGAACAGGTGTTATATATTTCACACAGCAAACAGTTGTCTATTTTTTAGCATATATTGTATCTGTACTTAAACTCTACATATTATATATAATATTTATCACTATCCTACATGTCTGCAACAATGATAATTATGTTTGTTTCGGCAGCAATTTGCAAACATTGACAATGACTGGAGGGAGCTATACTGTGTCAGTCCTAATGCCATTACTTCTCTTTTAACACTAAGGAGTATTAGCTAGTCTACTGTATTATTTAACCAGTTCAGGCTGCAAAATATCACCAGGAAATTATTGAAAAAAACATAAAATAACAGAAGAAAATATTTACATGTAGTGTGTTTGCACATCATGGGGTAAGTGGATGGCATACTGCTGGTCACTGATGGTGTATTTAATTCTTGTCAGCCTAATACTGTAGTAATAGTAGTAGTATAGTCATAGTAGTAGTGGTCATCTTAGTAGTAGTCATCGTAGTAGCAGACATTGTCATAGTAGTTGTCGTAGTAGTAGTCGTCGTAGTAGTAGTCGTCGTACTAGTAGTCGACGTAGTAGTAATCAAAGAAGTAGTTGTACTAGTAGTTTACTACTACTACTATTATGAGTGACAACAGCAACAGCAAAAAGAACACCAGTAACACATTAATAATACATAATACTATTACTGTATGTTATGCGAGTGCATTAGATAGTTTTTGTAACTGTGTGAATTTATGTGCTTTTATCTCCCTTATTTCTATTTTAAATACATACAAATGCACATATACTGTATATACATACATGCAAATATACTGATACACAGATATACATAAACATAATGTCACATCAATATACATATAAGCAAAATGTTTTAAAAAATTATCATTACTGCTACTACTATAAAGACTACTTACTAGGTAAGAATTTCAAAGTCCATTCATGTAGCCAGTGAAAGCTGTGCATACAATTTTAAGGTTTTGGATATCATTAACTCTTTCACTGTCCAGACCCCAAAAATTAATATTGCTGTCTTTGTCCCACCCTTTTTTTTTTATTTTAAATTCCTTCTGAAATGGTAGTGAATCCTTTTCTGAATATAATGACGCAAAAAGTATAAAATTTGGTGGAAAACTTGCGGTATTCCGCAGGCACAAAGTTAAGTGTCTAGGCTTAATTTATGCATCTGTGATTTTTAGCCACCAAGTACAAGAAACCACCCATTTAACAGTTACACCTATTCTATAAAGCACACAGAGGTTGGTAATCTGGCCAGTTTTACACAAGGTTAAAAAATATAAATTTAACCCCTAAACAGTCCAAATGTATACAGTGGACCCCCGGTTTACGATATTTTTTCATTCCAGAAGTATGTTCAGGTGCCAGTACTGACTGAATTTGTTCCCATAAGGAATATTGTGAATTAGATTAGTCCATTTCACACCCCCAAACATGCATGTACAAACGCACTTACATAAATACACTTACATAATTGGTCGCATCGGGAGGTGATCGCAAAGCGGGGGTCCACTGTATATGCATTCTCTCCCCCAGTGCCCCGAATATTTTGAAAAATAAAAAAATCTTTTTTTTTTTTTTAATGAAATAGAGAAATTTTTTTTAAGTATTATACGATTAAAATAAAATATCAGGGTCAGTACTTACTGAGATATGAGGCTGCAAAGTTGGCGCTTAATGTCCACCTGATGGCAACATCAAGTCCTGCTGCTTAAGGAAGTGTTGTCGATATACCATTTTTTCTCATTTTTATATTATTTTATATAATTTTTATGCTCTGATAATTACAATTTATTGTAGTTCTTGGCATTTCATAACCAATCTTTGTTCTGACACTAATATTCGGTACTGAAATTGTACTCAAATTGTCACAAACACATTGACAGGTGGACATTTACACCTGCCTTGGTCATTTACTATTGTCTAGGAATATATACAAAGTATTTATAGGTCCCAGCAATGTTTTGGATACACAGGAGTATAGAAGAAGAAGAAGGAAGAAGGAAGGAGGAGGAGGAAGAAGGAAGAAGTTCCCTTGAAGCAATGTGACAAGCATCCGGGAGGGCAGTGATAAGATGAGATATGGGATGACATTTGATGGGTCCCAAGGAGGGTGCTTGTCTGTCTGTCCCAGAGAGAGAGCCCCTGTGAACCAACAGGTATTCTTATGCATTATATTTACAAGCACGGTACAGCACTTTGGATTTTTTAGGTTATCCTAGGTAATTTACACTATGTATAATTGTATTTGTGTGTACTGTGAGACAGATCAAGAGAGATAGAGACAGATAGACAGAGACAGATAGACAGACAGACAGATAGACAGAAACAGAGACAGAGACAGACAGGCCCTAAACTTGGGGTTAACATCACTTTCCTCTTAAAAGGGGAGTATTAATATGACATTACATCAGTGAATCCTTGGTGTTTGCCGCACTGCTTGCTTGAGCTGGTGCTCAATTTAACTGGCGCTCCCACAAGGTACTAAGTGGTCCCAGATTTTTCTAATATGGTACACACAGAGTGTTAAGACCTATTCTATGCTGATTATGCATCTCAGGCCAATCGTGCCAAATTTGGAGGCAGGAAATATAAAATGTATATATATGTTTGGGGCGCTAGCGGTAAGAACGTATATATACGTTTGGATCGTTTAGGGGTTAAAAATAAAGTAAAAAATAAATTATATAAATATTCCTAGCACTAAAGCAACATTTCCTCTGTTCATTAATCATACCCCAGGCCTCCCCTTATTACATCTGCCTTCCATGCTGAATTTATTATCACACAAAAATAGAAAAATTTACTCTATTTCTCAAATAAAAAATAACCAGGAATGATTGGTCATAGTTTACAGTGTCCCAGTAACTGAATCACACCTATTAAGAACCCATAAAACAGACAAGGGTGTAGGGAGGCCTTACCCATTCTCAGAAAATTCAACAAAAAAATAAATATTTCATCTAATATGAGCTCAATTTCAAGCTACTTCTGGCTCTGAAGCCAACCAAAATAATCTCTATTTCAGTAGTATGTCTTCTGCTCTATCAAATGATACCAAATAATAGTCAATAAAACCAAAAACATCCGAGAAAACACCTCAAAATTGTTTTTTTAAACCATACACATGGGTAAAGTTTTGCTTTTCCTATCATGCACTGTGTGGGGTAGGATTTTTTTTTTATTATACTGTGCACACTCACTGCACAGACACAAACTCTCATATCTAGGCCAAAATTTACTGTTCACAGCTGAGCTCATAACGAAGAACTACATGAGGGACCCTGGTCTCATTGATGTACAGCAGCTCTATGTGACGGTCAAAGAAAGGGTTAAAAGGGTGTTCAAAAGAAGGAATTTGAAAGTGAATGCACAAAGGAAGGAAGTGAAAATAAAATGTTCTGTTTAGGGATGACCCTTCAAGGGTAAAAAAAGGGAGTTTTGACAACTGTGAAGGGTTCTTGATCCAAGGAATTAGTCACCATCCCTTATTATCTCCCATTTCCCTTAGATACTATATGAACCCTCCGGGTTTAGCATTTCCTCACAAATATGATAAATCCTGGGTGGGTGAAAGGTGTTGTAAGGGATATGAAAGTTTTGGAAGAAGGATGTGAAGAAAGTATTGAGAAGGAGAGAACTGAAATTTAGTAGGCATGTGTAAGCATGTTAGGTGAGATGTTAGACTGAGGTAGAGAATTAGTGTGGTAGTGTGAAGGAATATTAGAAAACCAGTGGAGAGTAGTGTTTAGTGCTAGAAGTGGTGTTTCAGTGAAAATGTTTTAAGAAAATGAGAGGAATGTAGTGTTTAATACATGAGGCGGTGTTTCAGTGTGAATGTTTTAAGAAAACTAGTGGCAATTCAGATAGTATTGTAGTATGAAGGGATTTGGGGAAGTCAGTGAAGTACAGTCTTTAGGACTTGAGGCAGTGTTGCCATGTAAAGGAACTCAGGAAAATCAACTCACTCAAACTGAGTAGGTGGTGGATGTTGAGGGCAATGATAGATATGTTGTCTACTTTGAGTCACCCTGCCTTGGGAAATGGCCAGTATGCTAAATATGTATACAGTGTAAACTTCCCACAAAGTGTTCAATTTCATATTCAAAGACATGTTTCAGTATTCTAATCCAGTAGCTCCATTAAAAAAAAAAAATCATCATTGGCCATCTAATAGTTGCTTTGCTGTTTTCACATTTTCCTGAAATAATATTAGTTTTTAAAATAATTTTGTTGCAATGTCAGCTAATCACTAAATAAAAAATTTATAATAAGTATGTTTTCTATTTTAAACATTAGTCTCTCCCACAGTATTGACCAGTATTGTACTTCTAGTCATCTCATATATACTTAGTGATTAACAAATGTGTATATGGCTCATTGTATAAAATAAACTGTAAAACTGTAATGAGTCTCAATGACCTCAATTTAAAGAAATTACTGCACATCATTTTTCATCTACTTACTTCAGCCATTCACTTCCTAACCAATTGAAGAAATATATAGAAAGATCCTACAAATAACAGACACTGAAAATGGGCAAGAAATAATATTAATATTTTTATCTAAAGGTAGAAAGTTGAAAGTGAACATAGATAAGAGTAAGGTGATGAGGGCATCAAACAATTTAGAAAAAGAAAAACTGGATATCACATTGGGGGGAGGGAGTATGGAAGAAGTGAGTGTTTTCAGATATTTGGGAGTTGACTTGTCAGCTGATGGGTTGATGAAGGATGAGATTAATCATAGAACTGACGAAGGAAAAAAGGTTAGTGGTGCGTTGAGGTATCTGTGGAGAGAAAAAACGTTATCCATGGAGGCAGAGGGAATGTATGAGAGTATAGTGGTAACAACACTCTTATATGGGTATGAAGCATGGGTTGTAAATGTTGCAGTGAGGAGGAAGTGAAGATGTCCTCTCTAAGGGCAATGTGTGGTGTAAATATTATGCAGAGAATTTGTAGTGTGGAAATTAGGTGTGGAGTTACTAAAAGTATTACTGAGAGGGCTGAAGAGGGGTTGTTGAGGTGGTTTAGTCATTTAGAGAGAATGGAACAAAGTAGAATGACTTGAAGTACATATAAATCCATAGGGAAAGGAAGTCAGGGTAGGGGTCATCCCTGAAAAGGTTGGAGGGAGGGGGTAAAGGAGGTTTTGTGGGCGAGGGGCTTGGACTTCCAGCAAGCATGCATGAGCATGTTAGATAGGAGTGAATGGAGACAAATGGTTTTTGGGACCTGACAAGCTGTTGGAGTGTACGCAGGGTAATATTTTGTGAAGGGATTCAGGGAACCAGTTAGCCGGACTTGAGTCCTGGAAATGGGAAGTACAATGACTGCACTTTAAAGAAGGGGTTTGGGATACTGGCAGTTTGGAGAGACGTCTAAGCTGTTGTACCTGAGCGCCTCTGCAAAGACTGATTATATACGAGTGATGGTGAAAGTGTTGAATGATGATGAAAGTTTTTTTCTTTCTCTTGAGTTTTTCTTTCTTTTTGGGTCACCCTGCCTCGGTGGGTGATGGCCAACATGTTAAAAAAAAAAAAAAATATCTACACTGTAGGATGCTCCTCAACTAGTATAATAATGTACTGTACCTGTACTGAGTAGTACTGGCTGAGGGGACATTCCAGAGCAAGGAACTTCATCACTCAGTGTAGTAAACATTGGTTGAACTAGTAAGATAGTACTGGCAAGTTGTGTAAACACTAATGCACAGATAATGACATTTACCAAGGAAACTTTAAAGTGGCTTCTTAACTACCATTTTGAATTAATCACATAAAAATATCAAAGATTTACTCTATTTTTCAGATAATAAAACATAACCAGGAGTGATAGGTCATGGTTTACAGCATCCCAATAAGTGAATCAGACCTATTAAAATCCCATAAACAAACCAGGGTGGAAGGGAGTAAGGGCCTTACCTGTCCTCAGGAAAATTGGCAAAAATCGAATATTTCTGCTACTTTGAGCCCAACTTAAAGCTACTTCTGGTCCTAAAACCAACCTATCTGTTTCGGTAGTATATCTTCCATTCTATCAATTGGTACTAAGAAACAGCCAATAAAACCATAAAAACTATCCTAGAAAACACCTTAAAATTGCTATTTGAAACCAAACACAAGGTCAAAGTTTTGCATTTCCCATCAGGGAAATGCAAAATGTGGAGCAGGATTTTTATCATAATGTGCACACTCACTGCACAAATCCATTCTCTCATATCTAGGCCAAAATCTACCACTCACAGCTTATCAAAACGTATATTTATGTGAGGGAGCTCTGGCATCAACAACACAGATCTGCATAACGGTCACTGCAAAGGTTAACAGGTCATCCTAGGTTAAATCTACATAATGTTTATACGATAAATCTTAATCACGTACAGTGGAACCTCGGTTTTCACATGCCCCAGTTTTCGTAGGATTCAGTTTTCAACAACTTCTTCCGTCAAAATTTTATCCCAGTTCTCGTACATCACCTCGGTTTTCGTAGAGTTGACAATGGTCCGTACCGAACACATCCGTCTGCCTGCTCGCGTCACACAGCCACTCAAGCGCCGAGTGACTCGGTCTGCCTTTGTTAATCATTGAGTATTACCCTGTGCATTAGCCGAAACACTTTGTAATAATCCATTGTTTTTGTGCTTGTTCATTGAGTGCTAACTGCTAAATAAGCCACCATGGGGCCAAAGAAAGTTCCGAGTGCCTTTTGATAAAGAAGGCGAGAAGCATGATAGAACTAAAAAAAGAAGTCATAGCTAAGTATGAAAGTGGCATACAGGTGGCTGATCTCGCTAGGATGTACAGGAAATCCTCATCAACGATCAGTTCCATCCTGGTGAAGAAAAAAGAAATCAAGGAAGCTGATGTTGCTAAAGGGGTAAATGTGCTAACAAAACAGAGATCGCAAACAACCAAAGGTGTTGAGAAGTTGCTGTTGGTGTGGAGATAGTGTTTTGGAGTCAACAATTTGTGAAAAGGCAAAGCAGTTGCATGCGGATCTTGTAAAGAAAATGCCTGGAACGAGTACTGCTGTTAGTGAATTTATAGCCAGCAGAGGTTGGTTTGACAAATTCAAGAAGCGATCTGGCATACACAGTGTGTTAAGACATGGCGAAGCTGCAAGTTTGGATAAATGTGCTGCCGAAGAATTCACTGATGAATTCAAGGAGTATGTAGAGGCTGAAGGATTCCTCCCCAACAAGTGTTCAATTGTGACAAAACAGGCCTCTTTTGGAAGAAAATGCCAAAGAGGACCTACATCATGCAGGAGGAAAAGGCACTGCCAGGACACAGGCCTATGAAGGATAGGCCAACTCTTTTGTTCCGTGGTAATAATAGTGGGGACTTCAAAGTGAAGCCTTTACTGGTGTATCACTCTGAAAATCCCTCAGTGCTCAAGAAAAACAATGTCATCAAGAGTAAATTGTGTGTGATGTGGAAGGCTAACAATAAGGCATGGGTCATGAGGCAAATTTTCATTGAGTGGGTCAATGAAGTGTTTGGCCTGAGTGTGAAAAAAAACCTCCTGGAATATAAATTGCCACTCAAGTGCCTCCTGGTAATGGACAATGTTTGTGCTCATCCTCCAGACTTAGAAGACCAACTGTTGGAGTTTAGTTTCATCAAAATGAAGTTTTTGCCCCCCCCCCCTAATACCACTCCTCTCATCCAACCCATGGACCAGCAGGTCATTTCAAACTTCAAAAAACTCTACACCAAAGCAATGTTTCAAAGGTGCCTTGAAGTGACCTCAGACACTGAACTGACCCTAAGAAATTGGAGGAATCACTTCAGTATCCTCAACTGCATAAGCCTTATAGATAAGGCTTGGCAGGAAGTGACTTTCAGGACGATAAACTCTGCTTAGAGAAAATTGTGGCCAGAATGTGGTGAAGAGTTTGAGGCTGACCCTGACAACCCTACGCCTGTTGCGAAAGCTATTGTCTCTTTGGGGAAGTCCATGGGGTTGGATGTGAGTGGCCAGGATGTGGAAGAGTTGGTGGACAACCACAGGGAAGAGCTAACCACTGAAGAGCTGCAACACCCTCAACTGGAACAGCAACAGATTGCAGCTGAGGAAATTGCTTCAGAGGAGGAAGAAGAGAAAGGGGAGAATGTCACTTTTACAGTGATGAAGGACGTGTGCAAAGTGGAGCGAGCTGCAAAGCTGTTGTAAGCAGTGTCTGCAACATGTTCAATGACAATGCCTTGTCCCATTTTAGGCAAATCTTAAAGAGACACCAGAAACAGGCCTCTCTGGGCAGATTTTTTGTGACAGGGGTCCAGTGACTCTCAAGCTGGTCCTAGTGCCAGTAAAAGACGAAGAAGGGAAGTACCCCGGATAGGGCATTGATACCTGAAGTCCTTATGGAGGGGATTCCTCTTCCAAACAATAACATCTCCTCCCTCTTCCCTCCTTGCCTCTTCCATATGCCAACAAGAGTCTTCAATAAAGGTAAAAGTGATGTTAAATGTTTATTTATCCATTTCATTAGTCATTTATATTTAAATCTCATTATTTTCTGTATGTAAAACAACAATTATTCTCTATAAAATGTATTTTTTGTTAATACTTTTGGGTGTCTGGAATGGATTAATTGGATTCACATTATTTTTTATGGGAAATATTACTTCAGTCTTCGTACAATTCAGTTTTTGTCAGACTTTCTGGAATGAATTAATCATGAAAACTGAGGTTCCACTGTACTTACATTGATACTTACTTGCTTCAACCTTAAATACTGGTAAATCTTGCTTAGAGAAAAGTTTGGATTTTTTTGTGGGCTTTGTTAGTCCTAATTTGCCATTTTTTTAATAGAAGAAACTGGACAAAACTGGAATGCTGATTTTCATGCAATAATTTCCAAGTGCCTCATCTAACTGCCTTTACCTTTCAATGCTAACAATTTGATAATTCACATTCTGACTGTCTTCAAGCTTAACATGCTGGTTTATTCTAGGATATTGGTCCCTCTGAAATAACTAAGAGAATTTGTCTTTCGTTTGGCTTCAAAGCTGGTGTTTCTTTGTGCAAGGTTTAACATAGTTTAGAGCTGTACATGTCCTAATTTGCCATTTTTATTGAATTAAATGGGGATACTGGTATCCATGTGATAACATGTTAATACCAAACCAGATCTGCTTCAAACCTTCAATGCAAATACAGTGGACCCTCGAGTTTCGGCAGCCTCAACTTTCGTGAAATTCGACCTTCGGCGAGTTTTTTGGAAAAATCTGGCCTCGAGTTTCGTGAAAAAACTCGTGTTTCGGTGACCGTCCGGTACCCGTCCGCCCGTCACCGCGCACACAAAGCCAGTCTCCCACGCCATTCACGCTCAGTGTGCCATTGTTTACCAACACGTGACCATCACCCCGCGGGTTCATCCATTGTTTTTTGTGATTACAACTGCTAAATAAGTCACCATGAGCCCAAGGAAAGCTAGTGCAAGCCCTTTGGTAAAGAAAGTGAGGAACACGAGAGTGGAGTGCGTGTTACAGAGTTTGCCAGGATGTATGGCAAGCCCCATTCAACCATCACTTCGATCATGGCGAAAGGAAAGGAAATAAAGTGTGCTGTTGTTGCAAAAGGGGTGGATATGCTGACAAAAAGAAGATCACAAATCCTCGAAGAAGTGGAGAGGTTATTGTTGGTGTGGATTACTGAAAAACAGTTAGCAGGAGATAATGTTACACAGTTGATAATATGTGAAAAGGCAAGGCAGTTGCATGACGATCTCGTAAAGAACATGCCTGCAACAAGTGGTGATGCTTGTTATTTTAAGGCCAGCAAAGGTTGGTTTGAGAGATTTAAGAAGCAAAGTGGCATTCACAGTTGATAAGGCATGGTGTTGAGGCTGCCAGTTCTGACAAAAAAGCAGCTGAGAAGTTTGTACAGGAGTTTAAGGAGTGCGTAGACACTGGAGAATTCAAACCCCAGCAAGTGTTTAATTGTGACGAAACAGGCCTCTTCTGGAAGAAAATGCCAAAGAGGACCTACATCACGCAGGAGGAAGTGGCACTCCCAGGATACAAGCCTATGAAAGACAGGCTTACTCTCATGTTTTGTAGTAATGCTAGTGGGGATTTTAAAGTGAAGACTTTACTGGTGTATCACTCTGAAAATCCCAGAGTGTTCAAGAAATACAGTGTCGCCAAGATTAATTTGTGTGTGATGTGGAAGGCTAACAGTAAGGCATGGGTCACAAGGGGAATTTTCCTAGACTGGTTTAATGAAGTATTTGGCCCCAGTGTGAAGAAATACCTCCTGGAAAATAAATTGCCACTCAAGTGCCTCCTGGTAATGGACAATGCACCTGCTCATCCTCCAGACTTGGAAGAGCAATTAGTGGAGGAGTTTAATTTCATCACGGTGAAGTTCTTGCCTCCTAATACCACTCCTCCCCTCCAGCCCATGGACCAGCAGGTCATTTCAAAATTAAAAAAACTCTACACCAAAGCAGTGTTTCAAAAGTGCTTTGAAGTGACCTCAGACACTGAATTGACCCTAAGAGAGTTCTGGAAAGATCACTTTAATATCCTCCATTGCATAAACCTTATAGGTAAGTCTTGGGAGGGAGTGATTTCCAGGACTTTGAACTCTGCTTGGAGAAATCTGTGGCCAGATTGTGTACAAGAGAGGGATTTTGAAGGGTTTGTGGCTGACCCTAAGGAACCTATGCCAGTTGTGGAAAATATTGTGGCATTGGGGATGTCCCTGGGGTTGGAGGTAAGTGGTGAGGATGTGGAAGAGTTAGTGGAGGACCACAGGGAAGAGCTAACCACTGAAGAGCTGCAAGAGCTTCATCTGCAACAGCAACAGATCACAGCTCAGGAAACTGCTACAGAGGAGGAGGAAGAGAGATGGAGGAAGGTGCCTTCTTCAAAGATTAAGGACATATGTGCAAAGTGGACTGAAGTGCAAACATTTATGGATGAACTTCACCCTAACAAAGCTGTTGCAGGCCGTACTGGCAACATGTACAATGACAGTGTTGTGTCCCACTTCAGACAAATCTTAAAGAAACGCCAGAAACAGACCTCTCTGGACAGATATTTTGTGTGACAAGGGTCCAGTGACTCTCAAGCTGGTCCCAGTGGCATTAAAAGAAGAAGGGAAGTAACCCCAGATATGGACTTCATACCTTAAGTCCTAATGGAAGGAGATTCTCCTTCCAAAAAATAGTGTACACCTTTCTCCTATCCCCTCCTCCCATTTTCCATCCATGCAGATGTCTTCAGTAAAGGTAAGTGTAATGTTATTATTATTTTTTCAAATGTATGTACTTGATTTCTGATTGTTTTCATTATGTAAATCTTTATTTAATTTGAAAAAAAAAAATTATTTCAACATTTTTGGGTGTCTGGAACGGATTAATTTTATTTCCATTATTTCTTATGGGGAAAATGGTTTCGAGTTTCATGAATTTCGACCTTCGGCGGGCTCTCTGGAACGGATTAATCACGAAACTCAGGGGTCCACTGTACTTTACTGCATTATAAACTTATGCCACACTCTGCATTAATCTCTGAGTGCACTGATGTTCAGGGGCCTGAGATTACTGCAAGATAGAGAACCTTTCTCAGATCCTGCAGTGACTGATGTACACCTTGTTACGATAATGATATATAATATCGACGAGTAAAACGTGTAGTAGTTGGGTATCTTTATTGTCAAAATGTTTCACCTGCTCTGCAGACTTCTTCACTGAATACAGAGGTGATAAATATTGTAGACCTCAAATGCAGTGGCTATGATGTGATCAATCAGCACTGAAGAAATAGTCAGCCCCATAGTCTCAATCGATAATAAAGAGACCTAATAGCATCTCCCTTAGATATCATAAACAAAATGATAAAAAATATTATCATTTAGTTTGGCACAATACTCAAGTTTCAGTCTCTTAAAATCAATTATAAAATCCATAACAGGATATACTAAAATATTTATAATTAAGGCAACTGAGTTTTGACACCTAATGCATTCTAATTTAATTTTGAAGAAAACAAAAAATTAACAATACAGTGGAACCTCTACTGATGAGTTTAATTCGTTCCATGACCTTGCTCGCATCTGCATTTGCTCATCTGCGTTGTCAATTTTCCTCATTTAAATTAATTGAAATGGAATTAATTCGTTCCAGTGGAATTCCAGGCACGAAAAAATACTTCAATAATTCCCCTACTAACAACTCTACGGCTTATTTATCTATCATAATTCATTTAATAAGACATAATAAATATTAATAACATAAAAACATGATATGTACACTAGAATGAATAAAATACTACATGTCATTACGTAAGTGGCTAGTGGTGGTGACAGCAGCCATTGTTGTTGTTGGGGTTTAGAGGGCAACCACAGTAGCCATTCCTGCTCCTGACTAGAGAACCTAGATAAGCAATAAAAGTCAGACAGAGTGACTCATAAGTGCTACACTCTTATGCAATGCTTAATTGCTACACTCTTATGCAATGCTTAATTGCTACACTCTTAATGCTACACTTTGCCACTGCTGCTTCATGTTGTCTGCCACTGCTACCTCATGTTGTCTGCCACTGCTACTTCATGTTGTCTGCCACTGCTGCTTCATGTTGTCTGCCACTGCTACCTCATGATGTCTCCCACTGTTGCTTCATGATGTCTGCCACTGCTGCCTCATGATGTCTGCTCTGACTTTTGCTAGTGTGTTGAAGAGCTTTCCAATACATGAAGGTTGAGGGGCAGTGCCAATCAGACAAGTATTGGGCAGTGACGTCATTTGTTTACTCTTGAACATCACCTAAGAATCGAACATTTCTGCTACTTTGAGCTCAATTTTAAGGTACTTTTCTTTGTGAAACCAATCAAAATCGTATCTATTTCTGTAGTATATCTTCCATTCTACCAAATGAGATAAAAAAAACGAGAATACAACCATAAAAACCATGCAAAATTATATCACTAAGGGGAGGCTAATGGCTGAGAAGTGAACTCCGTTATTTATAGTCCGATTTCTTTCATTTTTGGTGTACGTTAAGAAGCATCTTTCCATCATACATTTCCCAAGTTTCAATAAGACAGTCCAACAAACAACTGAGATCCAATTCCCTAGATCAAGAGAAAAAGCCCCTTACCAGTGTCAAGGAACCTCCCTTGAGGCCCACTCACATCTGGAAATTTCGCTCGCGTCTGGAAGCAAAAAATTGACCGAGCGACTACTCGTATCTGGAAAAACATGCACGTGGATGCACTCGTAAGTAGAGGTTCCACACTATATCTTACTATACCTAAATTACTCAGTTTCTAAAAAATGAGTTGATTTCATATTAAAAGTAATGATAATATAGCATTTGAAAATTACAAATATGAAATTAACATTGAGTGCTAGCAGTTAAACCAAACAGAAAGCAAAATAACGATCAGGGGGCATCAAAGTACAGTGGACCCCCGCTTAACGATCACCTCCAAATGCGACCAATTATGTAAGTGTATTTATGTAAGTGCGTTTGTACGTGTATGTTTGGGGGTCTGAAATGGACTAATCTACTTCACAATATTCCTTATGGGAAAAAATTCGGTCAGTACTGGCACCTGAACATACTACTGGAATGAAAAAAGTTCGTTAACCGGGGGTCCACTGTAATTTGTTATAAATGTTCATGATATGATTATTACAAAAAATGTATGTAGTGTACTGAACAAACTTGAATCTGTATTTTAGCACAATAGCACATTATTATATTCTAAAACAAATACAGTAATGTATAAATATTGATACATACTTGGGATATAACTAGTACTATAGTTTCCATGTAAAAAAATAAAAACGAGAGATCTGAATCACTTACATTATTCGTCTATTCAAGGATGTTAAAATATGAGAGACAAAGTCTACAATGGGTCCATGTATTGTTTTCCAACTTTCACAACATCTATCTCTGGTTTGATCTGCAATAAAACAGGTTAACATTTAATAATAAAAAATAATATCTTCATTTACTACAAGTACATGTACATGGTATACAGGCCTGCTGACATCAGTGACATACAGTGGAACCTCTACTTTCGAGTGCATCCATGTGCGAGTTTGTCCAGATACGAGCAGTCGCTCAGTCGATTTTTTGCTTCCAGACACGAGTGAAATTTCCAGATGTGAGTGGGCCTCAAGGGAGGTTCCTTGACGCTGGTGAGGGGCTCTTGCTCTTGATCTAGGGAACTGGATCTCGGTTGTTTATTGGACTATCTTATTGAAACTTGAGCAATGTATGATGCAAAGATTCTTCTTAACGTACACCAAAAATGAAAGAAATCAGACCATAAATTATGGAGTTCATGTCTCAGCCATTAGCCTCCCCTTAGCAGTATATTTTTGTATGGATTTTATGGTTGTATTCTCACTTTTTTGGTCTCATTTGATAGAACGGAAGATATACTGCAGAAATAGATATGATTTTGATTGGTTTCACGATGAAAAGTACCTTGTAATTGAGCTCAAAGTAGCAGAAATGTTCAATTCTTTGGCGATGTTCAAGAGTAAACAAATGGCATCACCATCCAATACCTGTCCGATTGGCACTGCCCCTCAACCTTCACATATTGGAAAGCTCTTCAACACACTAGCAAAAGCAGGAGGAGACATCATGAGGTAGCAGTGGCAGACGACATGAAGCAGCAGTGGCAGACATCATGAGGCAGCAGTGGCAGACAACATGAAGCAGCAGTGGCAGACAACATGAAACAGCAGTGGCAGACCTTGTTGTAACCTATACTATAAGTGAGTTTCCAAATGCCACCACGAGATGGCAGTGTGTATCAAAACAATGCTCAGTCCACTCCACTCGCGGTGGAGGGAATTCTCGTGTTTTCCTTACGTTTCATGCAGTTATTTTGCGAAATTTCTTGTTTCTAACCATGGGTCCTTAGAAAGCAAGTGCAAAGGACAGCACTGAGAAGAAAAAGAGGATGATTTCCATGGAATTAAAGCAGGATATCATAGATAAAGAAACTAGGTGGAGGGTTAAGGACTTGGCCAGGCAGTACCAAAGTACCACTTTTACGATATGTACAATACTAAAGCAGAAGGAGTCAGTGACAAAGTGTAGCATTAAAAATGAAGCAATTAAATGTAGCATTAAGAGTGTAGCAATTATAAGTCACTCTGTCTGACTTTTTTTGGGTTATCCTAGGTTCTCTACACATGCAGTCAGGAGCAGGAATGGCCGCTGTGGTGGCCCTATAAACCCCAACAACAACAATGGCCGCTGCCACCACCACTAGCCACATATGTAATGACGTGTATTTTATTAATTTTATGTATATATCACATTTCTATGTTATTAACATTGTTTATTATGTCATATTAGATGACTTGTGATAGATAAATAAGCTGCAGAGTTGATATTAGGGAAATTATTGAAGTATTTTGTCATGCCTGGAATTCCAGTGGAACAAATTAATTCCATTTCAATTAATTTAAATGAGGAAAACTGACAACAAATGAGCAGATCCAGATGCGAGCAATGTCATGGAATGGATTAAACTCGTAAGTAGAGGTTCCACTGTACTACTATATAGAATGCCACATGTTATGCAGAGCATTTCAGGAATATTAGATCAGTTTTGTCCCAGGATGTGACCCACACCAGTCAGCTAACACCCAGGTACCCATTTTACTGATGGGTGAACATAGACAACTGGTGTACGGAAACACGTCCAATGCTTCCACCCCTTTGCCGGGAATCGAACCCAAACCCTCGTCATGTGAAACAAGAGCTTTTGCCACCAGGCCACAGGGCACCACGGCCATTTAATATCACAGGCAAATTTTTGGAGAAATAATCAATTTAAAAATATATAGGTAATGCATATACAGATACTACTTGTTCTTTACTGATGAGGTATACATTCTTTTTTATTAATTTAAAAAAACTAACCTTATCATAGAGATGTGGGAAGGCATGTTCAGCATTGTATTTATGCCGCACTTGCTCATATGCTGTCAAATCAAACATCTCCTCAAATTCCTTCCGTGTCATAAAAGTATCAGCATAAAGAAATGGATATCCTCCCATGTCTGCAGTGAATCTGGAAATTAGGTACAGTACAATTTTTTTAACACACTAAATGTTTTCCCCTAATACAGTGGACCCCCGCCTTACGATCAGCTCCCAACTCGACCAATTATGTAAGTGTATTTTTGTAAGTGCTTTTGTACATGTATTTTTGGGGGTCTGAAACGGACTAATCTAATTCACAATATTCTTTATGGGAACAAATTCGGTCTATAACGGCACCCGAACAGACCTCTGGAATGAAATACAGTGGACCCTCAACCAGCGATATTAATCCGTTCCTGAGAGCTCATCGTTAATCAAAATAATCGTTAGTCAAGTTAATTTTCCCCATAAGAAATAATGGAAATCAAATTAATCCATGCAAGACACCCCAAAGTATTGAAAAAAAAAAAATTTTAACACATGAAATATTAATTTTAATACACACAAACTGAAAAAGACATGCACAGTTACATGACACTTACCTTTATTGAAGATCTGGTGATGATTGATGGGATGGGAGGAGGGGAGACCGTTGATCTTGTTAGTGTTTAGAAGGGGAATCCCCTTCCATTAGCACTTGAGGCAGCAAGTCTTTTTCTGGGGTTACTTCCCTTGTTCTTTTAATGCCACTAGGACCAGCTTCAGAGTCACTGGACTTCTGTCGCACAACATATCTGCCCATAGAGGCCTGTACCTCTCGTTCCTTTATCCTAAAGTGTTTCACAACATTGTCAGTGTAATAGTCACCAGCACGGCTTGCAATAGCTGTGTGAGGGTGATTTTCATCAAAAAAGGTTTGCACTTTAAGCCACATTGCACACATTTCCTTAATCTTTGAAGTAGGCAACTTCTTCAATTTCTCTCTCCCCTCCTCCGAAGCAGTTTCCTCAGGTGTGGCCTCTTACTGTTGAAGATGATCTAGCAGCTCATCAGTGGTTTGTTCTTCATTGTCCTCCTCCACCAACTCTTCCACATCCTCCCCACTAACCTCACCAATATGAGCACTAGTTCCAGGCATTTTTTCCTGTTCACCTGGGTGTTAGTCAACTGTTGTGGGTCACATCCTGGGGGACAAGATTAAGGACCCCCAATGGAAATAAGTTAGACAGTCCTCGATGATGCACTGACTTTCTTGGGTTATCCTGGGTGGCTAACCCTCCGGGGTTAATCGTTTCTCAGTAATTGTTTCACGTTAAGCCACACCAACAACACTCTCTCCACATCTTCGAGTAATACAGCTGATGGTGGTGCAGCAACAACAACAGCTGACTCTGGTGCAGCAGCAGCTGCACCTTTGGCAAGAACAGCTTCCTTGATTGCCGTTTTCTTACCCACAATAGTAGCGATGGTTGATTGGGGTTTATTATACAACCTGACCAGCTCAGAGACACACACTCCACTTTCATACTTAGCAATGATCTCTTTCTTCATCTCCATAGTAATTCTTACCCTTTTTGCTGTAGGGTTGGCACTAGAAGCTTTCTTGGGGCCCATGGTGACTTATTTTGCAGGTGCAATCACTACAAAGGCTGTGATAATATGAAATGTTCCAGTTGTTGTATGTTTGGAAGCGACCGCGGTGGCTGGCTGGCTTGTAAACACTGACACCCAAGGGACAAGTGAGGTGCGCTCAGGCCAAAGTGGACGCGTATGGTACGGAACGAATAGCGCTGGTCGGGTTTTTAAGCGCTAGTTGAGGCAAAATTTTTGCGTTTAAATGTATCGCTAGTCAGATTTATCGTTAATCGATGCCATCGCTGGTTAAGGGTCCACTGTACTACCACTACTACTACTACACTATACTACTACTACACTATACTGATGCACTATACTACTATTACTATTACTACACTATACTACTACTAGTACACTATACTACTACTACATTCGTGGAAGGAATTTTAAACCCATAAGGGTCATGCAGCACCTGGAGAAATGACAGGCACTCAAGATTTAAGCCAAGGAATGGGGGGGGGGATTACAGGTCAAATTCCTTAGCTCAAGAGCCCCGTCACCAGCATCAAGGAACCTCCCTTAAAGAGACAAACCTAAATCAGTCAAAATCTAAACCATTTCACAGCCTGGTTAGCTCAGTAAGTTACTGATGGTATGTTCTTAATGCCTGTAGCAGAGTGATCACGTGTTAACTTCGCAATCAATGGATCCAGAGTTTTTACCCACTTGATTCCACTCTTCATATTATAATGTTCACAATAGTGTGAAATTCAATTTGCACACTTACAGAAATGATACAACAAATGAAGAGCTATATACAGCACCTGGGTTGGCCTTTGAGATGAGTAAAGTGTTAGTCAAATAATGGTAAGACATATGGCAGATGATCTGATCACTTTCATTAAGTATGCTAGGAACATTCCATAAAGTGATAATTTTTCATTATTGATAGTTTGCTTTGTGATGATTACTTGAACCCCCCACTCACATGTGTCTTACCTTTCCAGCTCTCTCATCACATGAACTGCATCAAAGCGCTTTTTCTCTCTGACTAGTTTTGGCACACCATACACACCGAGATCATTAAACATCCCATAGTTTGTTCCTGGTACCTTCTGGTCCTTACGGGGAGGGCGAAGTTGACCTCTGAAATGTAAAATTTTGATGAAGTCAGTTGTATCATTATGCTTCCTTTCTCCAGTCAGAACATCATTCTCCATTTTTTTTTCAATTAAAAGATCACAATTTCAAATATCGTAGGGCCCCCACATATATGGCAGGTTACATTCCAGGCTACTGCCATAAAGCAGAATGCCTGTTTTTCCACTTATAAATGCATATAAATGCTAGATAACAAGGTTACACTAACATGTATTAAGTTAGCAACAGAAGTAGGCATTAAAAAACAATAAAAAAGTAAAATACACATGTAGTACACTCATTACTTACCTAATATATGTGTAGTCTTAATGTAGGGTGCAAGGCAAGTAGCATTTATTGTAGGAAGTCAGGGGGTAGGTATGGTAGCTCGCCCGGATACCACACCTACACGTAATATACATTTAAAGCGTTCCAGAGCAATAAAATACTCATTACTTACCTTAAAATATGTGTACTCTTAATGTAGGGTGAAAGGTGAATACTTATTGTAGAAAGTCAAGTGTGGTAGCTACCATACCTACATGAAATACAGTGGAACCTCAAATTTCGAACTTAATCCATTCCAGGAGCTAGTTCTAAATTCGAAAAGTCTGAAATTCGAAGCAATATTTCCCATAAGAAATAATGGAAATATAATTAATCCGTTCCAGAAACCCAAAAATATTCATAAAAAAAATACATTTTATAGAGATTAATTACAGTTTTACATTTTTTTTTTTTTTTTTTTTTTTTTTTTTCAACAAGTCGGCCGTCTCCCACCGAGGCAGGGTGACCCAAAAAAGAAAGAAAATCCCCAAAAAGAAAAATACTTTCATCATCATTCAACACTTTCACCACACTCGCACATTATCACTGTTTTTGCAGAGGTGCTCAGAATACAACAGTCTAGAAGCATACACATATAAAGATACACAACATATCCCTCCAAACTGCCAATATCCCAAACCCCTCCTTTAAAGTGCATGCATTGTACTTCCCATTTCCAGGACTCAAGTCCGACTATATGAAAATAACCGGTTTCCCTGAATCCCTTCACTAAATATTACCCTGCTCACACTCCAACAGATCGTCAGGTCCCAAGTACCATTCGTCTCCATTCACTCCTATCTAACACGCTCATGCACGCTTGCTGGAAGTCCAAGCCCCTTACCCACAAAACCTCCTTTACCCCCTCTCTCCAACCCTTTCGAGGACGACCCCTACCCCGCCTTCCTTCCCCTATAGATTTATATGCTTTCCATGTCATTCTACTTTGATCCATTCTCTCTAAATGACCAAACCACCTCAACAACCCCTCTTCTGCCCTCTGACTAATACTTTTATTAACTCCACACCTTCTCCTAATTTCCACACTCCGAATTTTCTGCATAATATTTACACCACACATTGCCCTTAAACAGGACATCTCCACTGCCTCCAACCGTCTCCTCGCTGCTGCATTTACCACCCAAGCTTCACACCCATATAAGAGTGTTGGTACTACTATACTTTCATACATTCCCTTCTTTGCCTCCATAGATAACGTTTTTTGACTCCACATATACCTCAACGCACCACTCACCTTTTTTCCCTCATCAATTCTATGATTAACCTCATCCTTCATAAATCCATCCGCCGACACGTCAACTCCCAAGTATCTGAAAACATTCACTTCTTCCATACTCCTCCTCCCCAATTTGATATCCAATTTTTCTTTATCTAAATCATTTGACACCCTCATCACCTTACTCTTTTCTATGTTCACTTTCAACTTTCTACCTTTACACACATTCCCAAACTCATCCACTAACCTTTGCAATTTTTCTTTAGAATCTCCCATAAGCACAGTATCATCAGCAAAAAGTAACTGTGTCAATTCCCATTTTGAATTTGATTCCCCATAATTTAATCCCACCCCTCTCCCAAACACCCTAGCATTTACTTCCTTAACAACCCCATCTATAAATATATTAAACAACCATGGTGACATTACACATCCCTGTCTAAGACCTACTTTTACCGGGAAATAGTCTCCCTCTCTTCTACACACCCTAACCTGAGCCTCACTATCTTCATAAAAACTCTTTACAGCATTTAATAACTTACCACCTATTCCATATACTTGCAACATCTGCCACATTGCTCCTCTATCCACTCTATCATATGCCTTTTCTAAATCCATAAATGCAATAAAAACTTCCCTACCTTTATCTAAATACTGTTCACATATATGCTTCAATGTAAACACTTGATCTACACATCCCCTACCCACTCTGAAACCTCCTTGCTCATCCGCAATCCTACATTCTGTCTTACCTCTAATTCTTTCAATTATAACCCTACCGTACACTTTTCCTGGTATACTCAGTAAGCTTATTCCTCTATAATTTTTACAGTCTCTTTTGTCCCCTTTCCCTTTATATAAAGGGACTATACATGCTTCTCCGCCAATCCCTAGGTACCTTCCCCTCTTTCATACATTTATTAAACAAAAGTACCAACCACTCCAACACTATATCCCCCCCTGCTTTTAACATTTCTGTCATGATCTCATCAGTACCAGCTGCTTTAACCCCCTTTCATTTTACGTAATGCCTCACGTACCTCCCCCACACTTACATTCTGCTCTTCTTCACTCCTAAAAGATGGTATACCTCCCTGACCAGTGCATGAAATTACTGCCTCTGTTTCTTCCTTAACATTTAAAAGTTCCTCAAAATATTCTCGCCATCTACCTAATACCTCCATCTCCCCATCTACTAACTCCCCTACTCTGTTTTTTAACTGACAAATCCATATTTTCCCTTGGCTTTCTTAACTTGTTTAACTCACTCCAAAATTTTTTCTTATTTTCATTAAAATTTCTTGACAGTGCCTCTCCCACTCTATCATCTGCTCTCCTTTTGCACTCTCTCACCACTCTCTTTACCTTTCTTTTACTCTCCATATATTCTGCTCTTCTTATAACACTTCTGCTTTGTAAAAACCTCTCATAAGCTACCTTTTTCTCTTTTATCACACCCTTTACTTCATCATTCCACCAATCACTCCTCTTTCCTCCTGCACCCACCCTCCTATAACCACAAACTTCTGCCCCACATTCTAATACTGCATTTTTAAAACTATTCCAACCCTCTTCAACCCCCCCATTACTCATCTTTGCACTATCCCACCTTTCTGCCAATAGTCGCTTATATCTCACCCGAACTTCCTCCTCCCTTAGTTTATACACTTTCACCTCCCTCTTACTTGTTGTTGCCACCTTCCTCTTTCCCATCTACCTCTTACTCTAACTGTAGCTACAACTAAATAATGATCCGATATATCAGTTTGCCCCTCTATAAACATGTACATCCTGGAGCCTACCCATCAACCTTTTATCCACCAATACATAATCTAATAAACTACTTTCATTACGTGCTACATCATACCTTGTATATTTATTTATCCTCTTTTTCATAAATATGTATTACTTATTACCAAATTTCTTTCTACACATAGCTCAATTAAAGGCTCCCCATTTACATTTACCCCTGGCACCCCAAATTTACCTACTACTCCCTCCATAACATTTTTACCCACTTTAGCATTGAAATCCCCAACCACCATTACTCTCACACTTGATTCAAAACTCCCCACGCATTCACTCAACATTTCCCAAAATCTCTCTCTCTCCTCTACACTTCTCTCTTCTCCAGGTGCATACACGCTTATTATAACCCACTTTTCACATCCAATCTTTATTTTACTCCACATAATCCTTGAATTAATACATTTATAGTCCCTCTTTTCCTGCCATAGCTTATCCTTCAACATTATTGCTACTCCTTCTTTAGCTCTAACTCTATTTGAAACCCCTGACCTAATCCCATTTATTCCTCTCCACTGAAACTCTCCCACCCCCTTCAGCTTTGTTTCACTTAAAGCCAGGACATCCAGCTTCTTCTCATTCATAACATCCACAATCATCTCTTTCTTATCATCTGCACAACATCCACGCACATTCAGACTTCCCACTTTGACAATTTTCTTCTTCTTATTCTTTTTAGTAATCTTTACAGGAAAAGGGGTTACTAGCCCATTGTTCCCGGCATTTTAGTTGACTTTTACAACACGCATGGCTTACGGAGGAAAGATTCTTATTCCACTTCCCCATGGATATAAAAGGAAAATTAATAAGACCAAGAACTATTAAGATAAAATCAAAGAAAACTCAGATGAGTGTGTATAAATAAATGTGTACATGTATGTGTAGTGTGACCTAAGTGCAAGTAGAAGTAGCAAGACATGCCTGTAATCTTGCATATTTATGAGACAGACAAAAGACCTCAGCAATCCTACCATCATGTAAAACAATCACAGGCTTCGTTTTACACTCACTTGGCAGGACGGTAGTACCTTCCTGGGTGGTTGCTGTCTACCAACCTACTACCTACACACACAACAAATGCTATAGTCTTTAATTATGTATAGTAATATAAAATAACATTTTTACTTACCTTTATTGAAGATTGGTGATGGCATCTGGAAGATAGGGAGGAGGAGAGAGGGAGTTGGGGTTATTGTTTGGAAGGAGAATCCCTCTCCATGAGGACTTCCGGTATCAAAGCCCTCTCTGGGGTTGCTTCCCTTCTCTGTATTTTAATGCCACTAGGACCAGCTTGAGAGTCATTGGACCCCAGTCTCACAAAATAACTATCCACAGTCGTCTGTTTCTGTCTCACAAAATAACTCCACAGTTGTCTGTTTCTGTCTCACAAAATAACTGTCCACAGTTGTCTGTTTCTGTCTCACAAAATAACTGTCCACAATCGTCTGTTTGTCTCACAAAATAACTCCACAGTTGTCTGTTTCTGTCTCACAAAATGACTGTCCACAGTCGTCTGTTTCTGTCTCACAAAATAACTGTCCACAGTTGTCTGTTTCTGTCTCACAAAATAACTGTCCACAGTCATCTGTTTCTGTCTCACAAAATAACTGTCCACAGTCCTCTGTACTCCTGGCAA